CCCAGGGACAACTATAACTCAAGGTCTGGAGGTGTTTATGCTTAAGAGAAGAAATTGTAACTCAGTTCGATGGGAAGATGAGAAACAAAAGAAAGCCATTATGTGCTATATGTAAATGATTGGTTGTCCAAAGCCACTCTGTGCTGAAAAGCCCTGGAAGGACCTTGATAAAGTTATAATCATTATGAGGCCTCTGTGTGGTTATTCAGTTCTGTGCCTTCTTCATTTAAGAATTTAAATTCAAGAGTGAAAGGTTGATAAAGGATGCATATTAACCACATTTGTTTGGACTGAAAGACAGTATTAGATTTTTCTGATAGAAAGTCAGTCTGGGGGCATCTGGGTAGTTCAGTCGGTTGAGCATCCGACTCTTGATTTCTGATGGGGTCATGATCTCGGGGTCATGGGATCAGCCCGCATAGGGCTCCATGGCCAGTGGGAAGTCTGCTTAAGAATATTTTCTCTCTCCCGCTCCTTCTGCCCCTCCCCTTACTCTCTCTCTTTCTGTCTCTCTCTCTCTAAAATAAATAAATCTTAAAAAAAAAAGAAAGCCAATCTAATTTGGCTGATAGGTACAGAGGTCTAGCTTTGCACATAGGATATATGGTAGGCATTTTCCAAAAATGGAATGATTTAAATCTGCAGCTCCATGGTTTCAACAAAAATACATTTAGAGTACATATACAACTTCCCCTTTCAGACAAGATGGAGTAGCAGGGAACAGATTTGCCTTCCTTCCTGAAACAATCAACTAAACATAAAAACTATGAAACAACAGTTTTCAAGATGGTGGACATCAGACAAAAAAGGACAGTAATCCTTGAGAGACAAGAAACAAATGAGGTGAGCCCTATGATTGCCTCAGCTTATTGCTTGAGAGAGTTTCCAGGACATATTGCAGGGAGGGAGAACCCAGGCAGGGCCATGCAGGCTCCGTGAGCTGAGGAGATAGCTAGAGTTTGTGGCAATCCAAACTAAAGTGCTCAGAACAGAGTGTTGGTGAGAAAAAAGGTACATAGAAAGAGAATTCTGGATATCTGTAGAGCCCCCCACCCCTCAGCCAAGCACTACTCATCATGTAAATGTGAGGAAATTACTTGAGACTAAGGAAAGAATCATCCAAAATGATTAGAGAGAACAGTAGCCAGTATTCATAGAGGACTGGAGTAGTGTCTGTTCCCATCAGCCAGACTGGAAAACTTCATAATTTATGTAGCATTGGTTGGAGTTCTCAGAAGGGTCTTGCCTTAGCAGTGGGGACACATTAGCCCCAGTTTGTTTTTTTTTAATTAGCCCTAGTTATTCATCCCATCTAATAAATTTTAAAAGCAAGACCTGAAGGGATCAAACTGTTTCTAAGTAATGTCACTGCATCTCAGAACAAACCTTAAGAATATTAGCAGGAATACAAAAATAACCAGCACACAAAAACACAAAATTTACAGTGTCTGAGGTCTAATAAAAAAATTACCTTTCATGCAAATAAGCAGAAAAATATGAACCATAGTGAGGAGGAAAACAAATTGACACCAACCCAGAACTGACACTGATGTGAGAATTAGCAGACATCATTATAGCTGTATTCCATATGTTCATATAGCTAAGTAGAGACTTGGAAGATCTTTTTAAAAATACACAAATTGAACTTGCAGAGATGAAAACAAATGTCTGAGATGAAAAACCACTGGATGGAATTAACAATAGTTTAGACACTGCAGAAAAAAAGATTAGTGAACTTGAAGACATGGCAATAGAAATTGTCCAAAATGAAACACCAAAAGAAAAGAATTTTAAAAATGAATAAAGAGGTACACAATATATAATAGGTAGAAAGTTGGCCCTTTACAAATATTTAAAATTATGAAGAAAGGTAGGCATCAAGTAAAAACGGATGAGAGGGCACATTGCTTTTGTTTTTGTTCAATTATCGGTAGAGGTATGTGAACAAAAAAAGAGCAGATTTTGCTCCACCATCTTCCTTCCCCATCGGTGTATGACTTTGCTCCTCTGATCATCCCCTCTCCCCCTGAAGTATCCTTTTCTTCCCCTCAGCTGGCTCATTCCCCTGACCACATGTATCCACTAGCGGCTGCATCTTTGAGAAAACCCTGCCTTGACCCCCACAACCCACCTCCACAGTTACTGCCCAATTGCTCTACTCCATCCACAAAGTTCCTAATGTCTGAATCTGCCATCACTGCTTCCTCATCTCTCATGTACTCTTTAACCCACTCCAGTGTGGCTTCCACTCAGACCTACCTCTCCCCCACAATTCCCTTTTGCTATATTTGCCAATGACTTCTTTACCAGTTATTTTCAATAGTTTACCACTCCCTCCTTCTGCAGTTTACCACTTCCTCCTCCTCGGCTTCTAAAGCACCGCCCTTTGTTGTCTTCTCACTTCTCTGGCACCTCTTTATCAGGTTTCTTGGCTGGCACCCTATCACTGCAACTTCTAAAAGCTGCTATCCCTATCCATGCTCTCTGTACACTCTGTACACTTCTTCCCTTGGTGATCTCATCCAGTATCTCAGCTTTTTAATACATCCATACACCCATGACTCTCAAGAGTAGATCTCCAACCCAGACTCTCCACTGGGCTCAAAGCCTGTATTTCAAACTGTCTACTTGACCGCTCCACTTGAATGTCTGAGAGGCATTTGAAGTTTACCATGTTCCAAACTAAGCTCTGAATCTCCCAGCAACATAAAATAGTGACTCTATCCACACAGTTATTCAAGCCTGGGAATTCTCCTTAAGAGTTCCTTCTTGGGGTGCCTGGGTGGCTCAGCATTCAACTCTGGGTTTCAGCTGGGGTCATGATCTCAGGGGTTGTGGGATGGAGCCCCACTTTAGCTTTGGGCTCCACGCTCAGTGGGGAGTCTCCTTGGAGATTCTCTCCCTCTGCCCCTCCCCTCATTTGTGCTCTCTCTAAAATAAATAATCTTTTAGGGGCGCCTGGGTGGCTCAGTCTGTTAAGCATCTGCCTTCAGCTCAGGTCATGATCCCAGGGTCCTGGGATCGAGCCCTACATTGGGCTCTCTGCTCAGCAGGGAGCCTGCTTCTCCCTCTGCCTCTTCCCACCCTCGCCCTGCCACTCACCCTGCTTGTCCTCGATTGTGCTCTCTCTCTCTGTCAAGTAAATAAATTTTTTTAAAAATCTTAAAATAATCTTTAAAAAATTTTTTTCCTTCTCCCTTTGCCCTCCTCCCACATCCAGTCCAACCCTGAGTCCTGAGATTCTATGTCCGAAAGCTGTCTTAAATGTCTCTGTTTCTCTTCCATCCTTGTGGTGTCGTCTAAATGGGGTGTGTGTCCAATCCCCAAAATGTGGGACAATGATCAGGTGGAAGCTGGTGGCATGGGTGGTGAAAGAGATAGAAGTTTATTGAATACACAAGGGAGCCGCGGGCAGGACAGCAAAGGAGAGGCTGTCTGCCACGAGACAGTGGGTGGGGGCTGTTTTTAAAGAGGGAAGGTGAAGGGGTATGGCAACATATGGAATCTTCCCTTTTCCGGTAACTGTGCCTAGTTGTAGTAGGCCATTGGTCAGTTAGGACCTATGGAGATTTTGACGTGGGTCACCTGTTGGGTCCATCTGTATTCAGCCAGGTGGTTGCTGTAGGCTCTTTCTGTATTCCATCACTCTAGCCTGTTTGCTTAAAAGCGGCCTCTACACTCTCAGTACTACCAGCACCCTCATGGCCAAGCCACCATCATCTCTCATATGAATCATTACAGTACCCTCCCAACTACCACCCTAGTTTTGCCCTTACCCCCCTTCAATCCTTCATGAAGTAGTCAGAATGAGCTTTTTAAAATATAAATTGAATAACACTCTCCTGCTCTAGTATTTCAATGACTTCCCATTACTCTTAAGATAAAATCTAATCTCTTTACCTCTGGTCTCCAAAGCTTGCCATTTGACTTATTTCTCCAGCTTTATCTGTTACCGCTTTCCTCCCATCTCTCTTCCCATCTTTCATTCCCGGCTAGTCATACCAGCTTTGGGACTTTGCATTTTTCCTCTTTCCCCCATTGTTCAACTGAATAACTCCCACTCACCTTTTTCTTTCTTTTTTTAAGGGTTGTATTTATTTGAGAGAGAGCGAGAGAGGGCACAAGCAGGGGGGAGGGGCAGAGGGAGGTGGAAGCAGACTCCCCACTGAGCAGGGAGCCCCACGTGGGGCTCCATCCCAGGACCCTGGGATCATGACCTTAGCCGAAGGCAGACACTTAACTGACTGAACCACGCAGGCTCCCCGAACTCCCATTCATCTTTCATTAATCAAACATCACCTTAGATGTCTTCCCTCACTATTCAATTTCAACTGTTTCCCCAATTTTCTCTTCTCATAGCACATTGTGCTTTTCCTTCAGTTTTACTACAGTTGGTAAATATATATTTATTTTAGTTTTTTTCCCACTTAACTGAGATGTAACTAATAAGTTTGTGTGATTTTTTTTGTTTCCATTTTCTAGATTGTAAACTCCAGGAGGGCAGAGCCAAAGTCAGTTCAGACTTTGTTGCTCCGCCCCCATCTGTCCTCTTAGAAGAATGGTCTGGCACACAGCAGATGCTCAATAAATATTAATTAAGTAAAATGAATGAGTGCCTTAAGTGCTTGAGAACCCTGGCCTGTTCTCTAGGAGTAACTCTGAATCTCTGCTTAAAATCTGGATAAGTGTTGGGGCACCTGGCTGGTTCAGTTGGTAGAGGGTGGGACTCTTGATCTCTCCGTTGTGAGTCCAAGCCCCTCGTTTGTCATAGGTGAGGCCGTATTTCCGCCCACAGACCCTTTTTTAAACCTCCCCTGCTACTCTCCACCCTGCCCATCCAAATACTCTTATGCTCTTGCCAATCAGGCATCATGCAAAATCCCTAACAATCGCGGACCAAATAAAGAAGATTGTGACAGACTCTAACGATGACCGTGTTTGTGTCTCAAGCCCGGAATACGACGCTGGCGGCTCATAGCTCCTTTCAGGCAGGCAAAGTTCACCATTCCCCTCCCCCGCCCATACCTGGGGCCTCTGACACCCAAGGCCTAGAAACTCAGGCACTCGGCTCAGCTCTGACCCGCCGTACAGCATGGCAGCCCCTAAGGGCGTGGCCCACGGCACTGCTAGCCGTACAACATGGCCGCCTACAGAGGGCGAACCGCTCCCCCTCACGCCCAATCACCGGAAGTTTCCATTTGAAAGCCGGGCGGCAGACCCGGTAGCTGGTGCGGCAGTTGCCGAGGAGCCTGCTTTGAACCAGGGCAACGAGGGCTGCGGGCAGGAGCTGCAGGAGCCTGGGTTCGACTCTCCCGGGGCGATGGACGGGGGTGGATGTCGGGGGCGGGCGGGATGGGCTGGGAATGGAGAAGTTTCTTTCTCCAGACTTCTTCCCCGGGCCGGGACAGGCCAGGTCGCGCTCTCCGGGGGCCCTCCACCTACTCGGGCCCCCAGACCCGTCACGGTAACGTTCACCTTGCACCTTCCAGGGCCCAGCCGTGCCGCCTCGTTACGATGACCAGCGTGGTTAAGACGGTATACACTTTGCAACCCCCAGCTGTGCAGAGCAGCGGCGTGCCGGCAGGTAGGCATCCACACAGCCCTACGGACCGGCGAGGGTGGTCAGACCGAGGAATAAGAGGGCACAGATCAGTGGCCCGGAAAGGGGGGAGCGGCCAGGGGAAGGGCAATTCATCGGCTCTGACAACCTGCTACCTCCCCTAGAACTGGGCTGTCTAGGTTTATGATGGGAGTTGGGGCAAGGGCCCTGTGGTAGGATTTTAGACCTGCCCTCCCCCATTCCTCTTCCCAAACCTAATCGTGCTGCATTCACTAATTAGATTTAAGTTGCTTATTGTTTCACAATATTATTTCCCCAAGCTAGGAATCCCCCCTTTTTTTTTAGATTTTATTTATTTATTTGTTTGACAGGGAGAGAGAGAGAGCGTGCAAGCAGGGGGAGGTGCAGAGGGAGAGGGAGGAGCAGGCTCTCCATTGAGCAGGGAGCCCGATGTGGGACTGGATCCCAGGCCCCTGGGATCATGACCTGAGCTCAAGGCAGACACTTAACCGACTGAGCCACCCAGGCGCCCCAGGAATCCCTTTTTAAACAATTGCCAGTTTGATTTCCAGATCTGGGCTATCTGGAGGGACTGGGTTTGTCCTCAGGGAAAAGGGAGGAGTCATTTCAGAAGTGTGATTCTTAGAGGGAGGCACTGGAGTTCACACTATGTCTAGTTCACAGTTGTTTCTGCACCGTTTCTCTTATATAGTAAGTTCTCAATAAATTGTTGGGTGAAGTGAGAGAGAGGGGCCAGGCCCAGCCAGAGTTTTCCATAACCTTTATTGCTTTGCCATCTTGCTTTGTGTTACTGGGCTTGTGGTTGAAAGTCATCTCCTACGCTCTGCAGTTATCAAGTTGCCTAATCTCTAGAGCAGGGCACAAAATAAGCTTCAAAAATCAGAACCTGTGGTGGGAGATTTTGAAGTAGCTATTTAAGACTCCTTCCCAGGGGACTCTGTGCAGCTGGTTGATGAGCAGCAGCCGGATTGATCTGTGAAGTAAACAGGCTTTTCTCTAAAGGCTTAAAGGGGTTTTTTGTTTGTCTTACCTGGCCTCAGAACACCGAAATGGTAATCTGGCATCAGCAGGACCTAAGAGTTGGGGCTGGGGGGGTGCACGCCCCTTGCACTGCCTTTGCCTTGGAGAGCAGTGCCCTCTCCTTGAGTGGAGAGTGACTCGCTCCCTCAGCCAAGTTGGAAATTTTTATCTCAGCTTTCTATCTCTGTCCCAGCTTTATGATCATATATAACCTTAATAGTTTAACATTTTAAGGCTATCTCTAGCTTTTTGCCTACATAACATATACATGTAAAAAAGAATTCAAAGTTAGAAAACATTATGCAGTGAAGAACAAGTCTCTTTCCCTTCCTTGACCAGCCATCCAATTCCCCTCCTTAGCGAATCTCATTTTTTTTTAAAGGTTTTATTTATTTATTTATTTGGGGGGTGGGGAGAAGCAGACCCCCTGCTGAGCAGAGAGCCTGTTGCGGGGCTCGACCCAGGGACCCTGGGATTATGACCTGAGCCGAAGGCAGACGCTTAACCGACTGAGCCGCCCAGGTGCCCCGTGTCTCTCATTTTAAGAAGACAGTCTTTGTTAAGTCCTGCTAAATTTTTCCCACAGTGCAGTCCTTAGGCTCTAGCAAGTACAGATTAAGAACTGATTCCAGTCAATGAAGAGTGTTAATTTTTATCAATTTATTATTAACACCTTTTCACCTGGGGGTGGATGTGTTACTGTGTATGACTTACTAATACTTGAAAGAGGAGGTAAATATTTTCCCCCAAGGTTACCTTTTACTTCAGACAGAGACCTAGGGTACCTGGCCGGCTCACTTGGTAAAGCATGTGACTCTTGAGCTCGGGGTTGTGAGTTCAAGCCCCACGTAGGGCATGGAGCCTACTTTAAAAAAATAAATAAAAATGAATAAAGAGATAACAACAACTATGCAATGGTTGAAAGAGAACCTTGCAACAGTTTGAGCGTAGCCTTGGGAGAATGGGCAGAGGGCGGAGGAGCTTCACAAGGTGGTCGGCTTCCACTGGTCCTGGAGGAAGGCTCCAACTGTGGGCCGCCCTGCGGACCACCACATTACCTGCCATTTTGCTCTTCGCTTGTATCAACATCCACTTTCACACCCGTACCCTCTGACTGTTCAGTTTGCCCTGTCGTCAGGCTTTTGGTGATCCTCAAATACATTGCACTGTCACCTTCAAAGGATTTTGGTTTCCATCCCCAATTAGTTTAGAAGTTGGATTCTTCTGAATTTTCGCAAATTGAGATGGGCCCAAATGAAATACAGGGCTCTGGGGGCACCTGGGTAGTTCGGTCGTTAAGCGTCTGCCTTCGGCTCAGGTCATGATCCCAGGGTCCTGGGATCGAGCCCCGCATCGGGCTCCCTGCTCGGCGGGAAGCCTGCTCCT